GGCAAGTCATATCCCTTGTGTCAAAATGAGAATCCTTTTCTTTATCTCCCAGGGTTTTGTGGGACCAGGTCTCCTATAGAACTTCAGCAAAGTAAGAACAGGAGATATACTAACTTTTCTTCCCTTCTCTATCAATTTCCTTTTCTATAACAAATTCTATTGAGTTTGAGAGTTAAAAAAAATCTTATTTAAGAGAATAAATAGGTCTCTCTCTCTCTCACACTTTAAGGATACAAAGTAGTGAACTATGGAACTAGCTTTCTTTTTAGATGCTATCTTTTAAGTACTCTTTGATGCACCTGACCTAGCCAAAGAGCGGTCAAACAGAGGTGGAAGTCCTAAGCACATTACCTAACCTGTCCGAGGGATTCCAAGAACAGCAAGCAATGGCCTCTCTGCTGCTCAGGGCTGCTGTAGGGATCCAGTGAGAGTGTGATGTAGGAAAATTGCCATGTAACTGACTAATGCCACTTAAACATGGGTTTACTGCGCTTGCAGTGCATAAACACCCTGTAGGCGGGCCAGATCTAAAGCCGTTATGTGACAAACGCCTAATGGCTAGAGCTAGATAAGCCCTCTTGAGAAAAGCTGCTCCGGTTTTAAGAGATCAAAACTTTCCTAATTACCAAATAATCCAGAGATTCTGAAGAGCTGTCAGATAAAAAACAGCTCTGGAAACACTGGAGTGAGCTGTATAATTTTTATGGTAAAGATGTCTTTTTCTTAGTGTTTATTTCTTTTTCTTTCAAATAGACCGTGTATGCTTTACCAACCATTGCATTTGCATTTGTCTGCCACCCATCAGTCCTGCCAATCTACAGTGAGCTTAAAGAGTAAGAGATTTCATTTTTATATCTTGATCATTTTATGCCCCTTCATTAGTGGACAAGTTCTATATTAAAATAAAATCTTATGGGCTGGGGCTGGGGCTCAGTGGGGTTTGATTCTCAGCACCACATATAAATAAATAAAATAAAGGTCTATCAACAACTAAAAAAAAAATAAATAAATAAAATCTTATATAATGAACCACCACAGATTCATCACCCAGTTTTCAACATTGACTGACATTTGCCATTCTTAAGTACTGTATTTAAAAATCCAGAAATCTGCAGTATTCTTTGGCCATAAATATAGAAAGTGGCCAATCCTGTGGGATTTTTAGTTAATTTGTATTTTCAAATATTGTATTAACTTAGGAGAGTTCAAGTACTTGTGTTGCTTTTTGTTCCTTGTGCTTAGTTTTCAAGTAATGATAATCTTCAGACTGATCTGGAAACTGCTAAATGCACTGTCTTTGATTCCCCTGATGGTTGGGGTAGAAAGGGCTGGTAAATCAGACAATAGGAAATTAATATTAAGGTTACAAACTAGAAAGAATAATATATTATTTTTATGGACACAATATCTTTATTTACTTATTTATTTTTATGTGGTGCTGAGGATCAAACCCAGTGCCTGACATGTTAGGCAAGCCCTCTACTACTGATCTATAGCCCCAGCCCAGAAGAATAATATTGTTGTTTGAAATTATTAAGATGATTCTATGGATTTGTTTTTGATTGTTCTTTTAGAGAAGAGTAAAGACCAGCTTATAAATCTCCTCTGGTGTTCTCCTGTTATCAGATTATTCTATATAAAAATAGTCATCAAGGAATAGTCTTAGGTTCAGAAAAGATATACAATATAGTTATTCATCTCCATTTTTAGACAAAAATATTGATGTCATTTAGCATTGACTTCTCTCTCAATTCTTCCCCTTTCATATTTAATTGATAAATGGCCAAATTTTGAAATGTTTCCTTTTATTTAAAATCTGCATATAAATTCGTGATCCTACATTTAGAGAATTTAAATATGTCTTTATCATCTTTTCAATTTAATGGTCTGCTTTTAGTTTATCATTTTCTCAAGTATGTACTTGCTCGTTTTCCTCATTTTCCACGCTCTCATGACATCCCAGATTCTGTATTAGGACACAACTAAATGTTATGACTGTCTGTGGTCTGTTATGGAATACAGTCTTGTAGATTAATTATTTGAGCAGTTTAAAAAACTTAAAAGGGTCATTCCAACCCCAGAGTAGACTGGTCCTGAGAGAGAGCCCACCCTCATCGCCAGTGCAATCTCTTGAGTACCTCCTGCTCTGGAGAGACACAGACTTCCAGGTGCCTCCCTGGGGTACTTGATGGGCCAACCAGAGCCCACACAGCAGCCTTCAGGACACAACTCCTGAGGTCAAGTTCTAGCTCTGCCACTGATCTCTGCAGCTGGGAGAAAGAGCACTTGAATTTTTTCTGCCTTTTTTTTTTTTTTTTCCTTTGCCCAGTCAGTGTGGAGATAATAAACACAAATATTAAAGAGTACTGTCTGGCCTTCAGATGAGAACTTGATATTCTTTTAAAAGCATGGGGAAGAACACTCAAGGGAGTGTAGTTCATGGATCACTCCCTCACAACATCCATTTGCTATTAAAGGAAGTTATTTTAAACTGGCATAATTGCTGGGGGTTTTATAGCTGACCAGATCTGCCCCAACTTGATGGAAGTAAAGTTAAATGAGTATGTTCCTCAGTGTTAGTCCCCACACTTCAGTTCAGTAATACATTCTTTTAAATTCTCAAATTCATTTATCTTTGTTTTTAGTCGATCACAGAAAAAAATGCAGATGGTTTCAAATATCTCCTTTTTCGCCATGTTTGTTATGTACTTCTTGACTGCCATTTTTGGCTACTTGACATTCTATGGTAAGTAATCTCTGTCGATGCATACTTACAGGTATGTACAAATAAATTAGTTAAAATCAATAACAAAATGACACGGAGACCAAACAGGGCAACCAAGTTAGCTTTTCATTGGTTTTACTGTTTTCACATAAAATGGTGATGGTTTCTTTTACATGTTTACGTAGATTGCAAAATAGGATCATCACTAAAACAATATTCTGTAGTTGTTTTCTTCTCATAGTGTCCTTAAAAGAAATTGCATTTTAGTAAAAGGCGAAAGATTTATAGGATCTGAAGAGAAACCAGAGTATAAGACATTGCATTTTAGAAGCATGCCGTCTTAGGAAAGTTTGAAACTACATCACAGAAGACTTTCCTAATTGACACTGAAAATTGGGTCAGACTCCATTAATAGAAAAGACAGAGACAGATGCTGGAAGTGAGGAAAAGGAGAGTGCCACACTCATGACACTCTACATTAATTAAAAATAAAACGCTAAGTGTTTACCGGAAGTTGGGGCCTTGCAAAGACCAGAAGGCATGACATAGAAAGTTAAATGAAATGAAATCTGAAAAAGAAAGCAAGGTTTTATTTGTAACTTGTATTGATCCTTTTAAATAGCTTACCTGCTTTTGCTACTTAATCTCTCCTACTCAAATTATCCTGCATCCTTGTTTATCATGTTTCAGTGGCATATTTTCCACAGTTATCTCTATTAAGTGATATTTCTTTAGGGCATTTTTCTTTTCCATAAAAAATTGCCTCAAAATTTAAACACATTTAAAGATTAATTTAGCTTGGAGAGAAAGGCTACTCTGATTATACAGTTGTATTATTACCATTTCACAAGCAATAGAGAATAGCATTATCTACGACTCCATAACTAGCACATTTAATTTTGCATAAAAATGGTGTTTCTGCAGTTCCCACAGAGTCATAGGACTAGGGTGGGTGGAGGGAGGGAGAGAGGGAGAAGTAATGTTAATTGAACAGTCTCACTGTTACCTTCTTCAAGCTCTGATTTTTCTTTGTAAATCCATTTTTTCAACATATAATAGAATACTGAACCTTTTATACTCTTAGAAGAAAGAAAAAAGATGAGCTATTTTTAAGTGATTATGAATTCTGAATCAAGAAAATGAGAACTAATGAGTTGTTTTTGTTTTTTTTTTAATATCCTTTGGTCCTTTTCCAGACTGAGACAAGCTCTATGGTACAGGTTAGAATTTGAACTTCAGGCCCAGAATCTTGAGCTTGGTTCAATGAGAAGCTTTTGAAAGGAGACATGAAGGGAAATGATTTCTTATCAAAAGAATGAGCATTTCCATGCTGTTCTTTGACTGCTTTCCCAGCATTGGTAGTCTTTGAAATAACACTTTCTGGAATTTGGAGCTGAGAGAAATTCAAAATAGTACATCAACTGTATGCTTTTTTTTTTTTTTTTTCCTCCTCTTAACAAAAAAAAACATTCGTGGAGGAGAAGCATTCTTTCTCAGTGGTCGTGAGGATGGTGAGGTTAGGTTGGTACCTCTGCTCCTTGGCCACTGGAGGTTGAGTTGCAAGAGTGGAGTGTGAAGGAAAAAAGCTCTCGTGGACTGCAGCTAGTCGTTGTAGCTTGGAGAGTCGCTCTCGGTCAGGGGAGTCTGTAGATTTGGAGGGGCTTGTGCCTCAGCCATGCAGGTTAATTAGTTTCAGTGAAGCAGCCCTGCTCCACGCACCTTCTTCTAGTGATTTGCTTTGCATTCTTTTCAGCTAAAGGTACACCTGAACGCTGGAGCATGTCTCTCTCACATAGGGGTGGTTTTTTTGGTTTTTTTTCTCAACTTTATAAATGGTTTTAACAGATATTTCTTTACCCTTTGGTTTACAAATTCTTGGTAGTTCACAAGAACTCATTCAGCATAACCCTTTGTCTCCTTCTAAAACCCTCTTGCTTTTCCCTCCCTGTAGACAATGTGCATTCAGACCTCCTTCACAAGTACCAGAGCAAGGATGACATTCTCATCCTGACAGTGCGGCTAGCTGTCATTGTCGCTGTCATCCTCACCGTGCCCGTGTTATTTTTCACAGTGAGTAAAAGGCCTCAGTGTCATCTGAGAAAAGCTGGGGTCTTGCCTTTCTTTTTTGCCTTCAGAACCCTGTTCCAGAAAAAGCCTGCCTAGGTGACTTTCCTAGTCATTGAAAGAGCCTGAGAGGCTCCATGCTCTTGGGACAGTAAGTGGGATCTGTGAGCTAGTGTACCCTCTGTAGATGGAATCTTTTTTTTTTTTTTTTTAAGTTGTAGATAGATACAATATCTTCATTTTATTTATTATTTAGATTTATGTGGTGCTGAGGATCGAACCCAGTGCCTCACACATGCTAGGCAAGCGCTCTACCACTGAGCTACAGCCCCCAGCCCTCTGTGGGTGGAATGGTTGAATGTCAGGCATACATGATGAGAGGGTGTAGAAAGACCAGAAGAGAACACTCAAATCTTAGTTAAAGCAAAGAAATTACCCACCCCAAAGGAAAACTCTTACTGTTCATATATGCAAATACTTGGCAGTTGAAGTCAAGCCTCATACGTCCAAAACTGTTAAGCTATCTCAAAATTCACAAGGCATTATGAAACATTCCACAGATTCCTGTGCAGCACTCCATCAGTTATTCTACTGAGAAATGTGAAGTTTAGTGTTCTGCTTAGGCCTTTACAGAATCCTTACTTTCTTTTCCTACAGGTTCGTTCATCTTTATTTGAACTGGCTAAGAAAACAAAGTTTAATTTATGTCGTCATGTCTTGGTTACCTTCATACTCTTGGTTATCATCAACTTGCTGGTGATCTTCATACCCTCCATGAAGGATATTTTTGGAGTCGTAGGTATGGCTTTATGACTTTCCACCTATCATTCCACAACATACTGCAGCTGTTTTAAAGTTAAAATTGCATAAGAACAATCCTAAGCTGCCTTCTTTTTTTTTTTTTTTCTTTGCAGGAGTTACATCTGCCAATATGCTTATTTTCATTCTTCCTTCATCTCTTTATTTAAAAATCACAAACCAGGATGGAGATAAAGGCACTCAAAGAATCTGGGTATGTCTCTTGCCAACCACTCTAATTTTCTGATTAGCTTTCCATTTGAATTTGGCAAATAAATAGTTCATCTCTCTACCATCTTAAACTACTTTTAGTAGCCTTGAAGGGAGGCATTAGCCCTATAGTTTTCCCCTTGGGGATATGTAAAATTTCAAATCATATCTTCTCCTTTCCCTCAAAATATCTTTTCCATTTTTTACTCTTATTGTGCATTAGCTTTTACTCTGATCCAGCTAGCCAGGAGATGGATATTTCTACTCCTGTGACTCCATAGGTGTGTGATGCCTCTCTTTAGCGAGATATGAAGTGGAGAGACTCAAAGATTGGATGCAGTCTTCTGTTTCTGCATGATTTCTAGTCACATAACTAACTCCTTCCTACAACCTAGGGCATAGGCAGTGACTTAAATGAAATGTCTGAATTAGTTTAAAGAGCCTTTTTATGACTTGACAGAAATGCTTTGGAGCAAGCAGACCTGGATTCAAAAACTACCTTTCTATATTGGGATTCTTGTTTCCAGGTCTGGTGAAGTTCAAGGGCATCTTGAAGGTGGTGCACTTGGAGACAGTGAGGGAAGCAGGGGTGAAGTGGCTGCTACATGAGTCCCTTCTGGAGCACCATTTTGCTTGGCCTCGAAGAAGGCTTCTCAGCTGCCCTCCCAGATAGTGTAAGCACTGTAATTGCACATGTTACCTGAGTCAACAGACCCAGAGGCAGGAGGGACCATCCCTATGCACTTACAAACATCATTGATGCTGGTAGAGCATCTAGTTTATCCTTGAAGCCATAAACTCCAAATCCTTCTAGGCCTTTACCTGTAGGATCTACCCAAGGATAGAGAGGAAGGAGAATTCACTGTGGCACTATCATGAAATATCCTAAGATGGAATTGGTGCAAACGGTGAAGGCCTGTTGTCTGTAAATTCTCTGGGCCTCTCCATTCAGACTCCCATGATAAAACTGCATCTACCAAATAGCATTAGGCAAGGGCTCCTTGTAGGGACTACTGGGAGTTAGATGGGTCAGCTCCACCATTTGCCTCATCTCCTTCCCTTACCTCTTCTACCCCCAAGTTCCCAGGCTAGCCCTTGGCTCTCATATGGCTTCATCTTCCCCTGCAAAACTCACTTTTCTCAAGGCCAAACAACTTATAATCACCAGTTCTCCAGATGCTGAACTTAGTAACCTGTCCACCTGTGGCCTTCATCAACCCTCCAAGTAACTTAGTTTTTGACACTTGTTTCTGATCTCACTTGATCAAATCTACTTTGCTTTTGCTTATATTTGTTCCATTTTTTCAAACAGAAAGGTCTGCCTGCCAGTGATAATTTAGGTTGGTAGGTAACAAGTACCACAATGACCTGGATTTTTTTTCTTTTTAAGTTATAATTTTACTTTGAGAAAAAAGCTCTAAGGATACCCAGTCATTTGTAGACTGGATACATTTGAGGTGACCATGAAGTTAAAAAGAACAGAATGTAGAGGACGGCTGTGCTTAGCTTATTTTTCTTATTTTCCCATTCTTGCAGAATCAGATTCACACAATTGTAGAATCTCACCATTCAGCAATGGTTGTAACAAACTCCAACTATAAGGGGACACAAAGGGAGAGGGGGAAAAATTTTCTATTTTTTTTCCCAGGTGCATATGGAAAAGGTCAACGGCATTGAAAATAATCCATGTCTTTTTATTGCTCCAGGCGGCTCTCTTTTTGGGCTTGGGGGTGCTGTTCTCCTTGGTCAGCATCCCCTTGGTCATCTATGATTGGGCCTGCTCATCCGGTAGTGACGAAGGCCACTGAGACCAGCCGGAAAAGAAAGCATTCCAGTCTGCTGCTCATCAAGTCTCCACACATCAGCAACTCCTCATCACTTCTTTTGCAAGTTCACAGAAACAACAGAAAAGTACAAGATACTTAAAATGGAACAGCACTTTGGTTGCAAATTGGAGACCTGTTTCTGTAACAGTTCGTGCCCCTCCAACATTTGGGATCTCTTTAGGAATGGTGGATCTTTCCCCCTATCCCCAAATTTCATGCACTTATATTATAAAGTACTTTTCAAGTCAGTTATTTTCCATTCTCCTAACTCTGTTTTTGTGGCTTTGTAGTCTCTTAGAACTTTGAAAACATAATCACCAATCGTGTTGACTTATTACATATCTGGGTTCTGAGATAATTTTCCTATTGATGTTCAGCTCACACTATCTGGGTCTTTTTAGAAAAGAATCTTGAATTGTGTATATTTATTTTGCTTTATAGGAAAAAAAACAGTTTTTCGTAAATAATTTGCCTCTTTTGGTTGACATAGCACACCAAGTTAATCATATGGGAGTCATAGGGCACGTGCCATTGCCTCATCTGAGCATGCCCATTGTTTGAGGCAGCTCAGATCAGGGCCGTCCAGCTGCCTAGCAGGTACAACATACTGCTCCCATGAAAGATATTCCCTTCTGAGTGTCCTCAGATAGGAAGAGGTTGGAATAATACCTTCATAAATATATTAAACTACACATTTATCTAATCTTGCAAATGAAGTTTTTTTTTTTTTTTTCCCTTTTAGAATCTTAGGTCAGAGTTCCTCTAGGCTAAGTGAGCTTCTACTGGAGGAGACCCCTGGCACCTGCCATAAAAAGATTGTCCAAGATGCCTAAGAAAATACTCCTCTGATGTAGATAGCCTTTAACTCTACACCTGTATCATTGAAGTGAGGGAAATGTTTTATTGAATTGATAAGCCCAGCAGCATTTATTTAGTCATGTCCACCAGCTTTTTGTCATAGTGAAATAATGTGTCCCTAACTAAGGACGATCTAGGGTAAGTAATTCCTATTTTATATTGGGTACTTTAGGAGAGTCTTTAATAGACTTGTTTTATATAATAAATCTAGGTTATTACAAATACAAGATTTTTGTACCTCAAATAAGCCTCATTTCTCTTTCTTCTCCATTAACTTTCCATCCAGTCTTGAAAATAAGCTTTCAGAGAGTCTTTGTGAAGAACCTTTGGTGAAATCACTGTGTACCTTCCTTTTCCCCACAGGGAAGACGAGGGCCTCAGTGTCCGAACTCTCTCTCTTCTCATTACTGTTCATCTCAGCGTGGTTTGTGCAGCACAGAGTTGCCCCAAACTCTTACTCAGTCCCTCCCCTAAAGGGAGCGGAAAGAAACTATGAAGAGATGAAATGAGAGAGCTTGTGACAAGGTAGCTGGAACAGGAATGGGGGACACAAAGGACACCCAGATAGCAACCCCCAAAGCTAGGCCATCCCATCACTTGTGATTGGCATGTCCCTGTTTTATGAATGGTAAGAAATGTGCATGCTCTGTGAGCTGGTCTCTTGAAACAGGGCTTATGCCTTATCTCTATGTATTCTGGTTGCATTTTCTAAACATGTAAGTTCACCGAGCACAGATTTCTTATCTGGAGATAAGTAGAATCTAACCACAGATGGTTGGCAGAGTTTCCAGGCACTTAGCTCTGGCTTCTGTTCCTTCCACCCTGACTCCCCAAAGGGCTTTGCTGTCACTGAGAGTCAGTCACAGGGAACTGTTCCCCCCCCCTTTTTTTTTTTTTTTACAAACTAATGTCTGTAGATAAGGCAGGCATCAAAGCACCTGTCACAGTCCTCTTGGAGGAGAATGAAAGGTTATTTCCTGCTTTACACCATCATAGCTTTTAATGTAATACTACAGAATGACATCCATATGGAGTCAGAGTTCAGGCAACTGGATTTGATCGCCTGACCCAGATCCCAGTACCTTAACCTAGTAAGTCCACAGCCATCTTGTCCTTTTCAGAAGTGGTTTCCATGTTAACATGAGCAATGCTAGAAACTGAGCATTTCTATTTCACCAAGTAATGAAATAGTCAGAGAATGGGATGACCCTACATTAAAAAAAAAAAAAAAATTCATAATTTAGTTTGCAAGCTATACTACTATGCATCTTTCTATTTTCTTCATTACTCAGTTCATTTTATATTCACAAAGTGAATTCAGAAAATTATTAATTCTGGGATGTGTAGTGATATTCTTTGGATCTCTGGATTTTGTGTGTCAGTATAAGAAATTTGTTATTTAAGATATATTTATTTAGAGGAAGCACATTATTATTGATGTCTGTTATTCACATTTTTCAACCTTTCTTTATAAGTTTAGTTGGTTGTTAACTGACTATTATAGACCCTACTGTAATTTGTCAAATATTACTGATTATATGACTTGTATGGAATTCACTATGAAGTGTACTGCTATTCTTATTCAAAATAGTGCACTGGTATCCAAAAAATAACATGTATTGCAGATGTTAGGTAGAACTTAAGCAGCACAAGTCAAGTGCTATAGATGTTTTTCTGCTAAATTAGTAGACTAAAGATACTGTATCTTAGCCAGAGGAAGCAGCACGTTTTCCTTTGGTAGATAGGATCTCTACACTAGTGAACAGTGTCAGTTTCATACTGTGGATTTAGAACTGTTCTCTGGTTATGGTAACACAGAATACTACAAATCCCTAATTTACTTCATGTCACTTATTGGAAGTGGGGGTAGCAAAACATGCCCAGGAAGAAAATCTACTCTTTTTAGGCATAGGTAGCCACCAGTTATAAGGAATTTATATTGTGAAACTTTGTGGGTTGTTTGTAACCTGGAATGTATTTTCCTTTAGAAATCAGGTTAGGCACCCAGACCAGCTAGAAATGATTATCAGACCCATAGTTTAGCTGAAATTGAATAATTTAATATGACTGCAAAAGGAACCAAGCCACCAAATATGATTGGTTCCTGGGGGTGTTTGTTCAGAGCTGTCAAGAACATCTCTGCCTGTTGCTAGTGGAATCTAGACTGTTCATCTCAGCCACATATCACCTGCTGGACAGAATAATGGTCTCCAGCAAAGATGAGGGAGAAAAAGTCCAGAAAGCCTGGGGGTAGGAGGAGTGGAAGCAGGATGAGGGGCCTCCAGGGGCGGGGGGTTGTAAGCGTTCCTCAGCTGGTGCCTTTTCTTTCATCCGTGGTCTCAGGCTGGACTTCTTTTGCTCCCATAGATCACCTCCTTTCCAGCCCACTACAGAAAAGGACATCGCTGCATAGCTTTTCCTATGTGCCAGGGTGTGGTGGAGGCGAGCACATGACACTTGGAATAGCCTTAGTGCTCTTGATTGCAGTTTAATTGCCCAGTAACCACAGGAAGGGTAAAAAGTCTCCACTTTCCTTTTCACATACACCCTGTTGAAAAAAAAAAAAAAAAAAAGAAAGGTACACATCAGTTAGGGGGTGGAGGTAGGCAAAGGGCAGTGGTAAAATTCCTCAGCATCTTAGAGGACACCTTACTTACCAAGAGAGACTTCTTCCTGGAGCTGGACTCAAGCCTCCAAGCTAGTGGTTCTCAAAGTGCATCTCCCAGACCAGCAGCATCAGCATCATGCATGGACCTGTTAGAATGCACATTCCCAGGCCTGGCTTCAGACAGTGAAATTGGCCGCTCTCAGAAAGGGGCAGCAATCTGAACAAGGCCTCCAGGTGATGCTAATGCACATCAAGTTTAAGAACCGCTCTGGACTAATTAGTTCTCTCCATGAGTCCTACTTCAGAAGATAGTTTCCAGGCAAAAAAAAAAAAAAAAAATGGGAGCCCAGGCAGGGAGGGGAGGAAAACACCTCAGTGACTCTGCAATGGCAGGAAAAGCAAAGGAATCTCTTGCTGTCACCCGCTGTGCCCCCTCCCTCCAGAATTACCAGTGCAGGTGCACACTCCAAAACTACACTTAGGGTTACTTCAGGTAAGGCACAGTGAGGATGACATTTTTATAGCTGTGAAGAAATCAAAGTAAGGCTTTTTTTTTTTTTTTCCTTTTTCTTTTTTCTTTTTTTGAGGGAAATTAAAAGAAAACCCCTTTTGTAAATGTAACCTTGGAGGAAATACTGAATTTGTGTCAGAAGTCAGTTTGCCACAGAGTGTGTTCGTGGGGGCATCAATCCTGTCCTCCTTTTAAAGTGAATTCGCAGTCAGTGGTAGAGCACTTGCCTAGCATGCACAAGGCCCTGGGTTCTATCCACAATGTGGCAAAAATAAATAAAGTGAATTCTCTCCTGATTGGTCTACACTGATAAAGGAACTACAAACTGCTCTGAAAAGTAGCAATTTGGCTCCATTGCAGTGTAGCCCAGCAGTGGAGGGCACTAGTAATTGGGGTGGGTAGAAGGTGGTGATAATACTGGATATTTGATTTTGTGCCTTGGAGAAAAACCTTCCCTCCATTTTTCAGTTTAAATGACTTGGGGCTTAGGAAGGGCATAGGCTTTAAGACTAATTCCCTCCCTCAAGCAAATGTCCAGCAACTTTCAAAACAACAATCCAGATGACATCATTTAGCAGTACTCATAAATGGTTTTCCTTAAGGATGACAGATCTCAAACTTTGTTAGCAACAGAACATTCTTCCTCTGAAATAGAGTGAATTTTTAATAATGATATAAGGCTTTCAGGTACAAATTGGGGGTGGGGTGGCTAACAACTGAAAAATATCAGAATCAAAAGAGAGTTCTTGGAAAACAATGTAATATTTGCAAGGATGCAGACATCCTCCTTTGGGGTTTTCTCTGAGGAAGGCCCTGAAACTGGGCCTATTTGTATACAGGCTCAAATTTGTGTTTTTAAGGAAGAATCTATGCAGCTGAGGCTTATTGTAGGAATGCTTCATTTGTATATAAATATATTGTAAATAAATAGGAGGCTGTATATTTTTGCAGTTGTTGATCCACACTGAAATAGAAGTCACTAGTATCTGCATATAAAGAATAAATGTTTTCATAGATATTAGTGGTGGTTTTGTTTGAGAATTAGAACAATTTTACTTTCTATCCCAGGTATCATAATTCTCTCAGTATAAACTTGGAACCTAAAACCTTACTTAATTGTTTAGAAAAAGAAATGTCTGAGAAATAGCTGTGTTGATTTTTTTTATGCTGGTATTAAAATCACTTGTTTAAATGATAGTTCTCTGAGCTACAAGAATATTTAGACCCCAATCATTGTCATATAAAAATAGGTAAACCCCAAATGACAGATTGTTTCTTAATAAAATTCTTTGCTGTTTAACATTGATGCCACTATGCAGTATTTACGAAAACAGGAGTTAGGAGAATGTTTTTGTTTTTTGTTTTTCCAAAACTGAATTGCTACATTTCCCAAACTTTGGGATCTTGGTGTGGAGAGTATGGGTAGGGGGACTGAATATTAACTATGAGCACAAATTTGAAGGGAAAAAAAGTTATTTTATCAAGTTTTGAAAGTTGCATGTTTGCTTTTTATTTTAGTGTTGAGGCCGACATAGTCTCTTATGTAAGTGTTTTCCCCCAAAACACTTGAATCCTAAGTGTTGGTTCGTAATCCATTCTCTGGAGTCCAGTGTATTTTAGACTTCATCTGAGTCCGGTATGTGTAGCACACCACTGTTCTATTAATGTAAAAACCTTGTAAATGAATTTCAGATGGGTCATTTGGGTCACAAATCACAAAACTTTGCTATTCACAGTTAAGCAAATAGAGAGTTTTGTTTTCTTTTTCAGGGTGTGGTGTAAATAAAGAAATGTAAGGAGTTCTGTTCTATAACTGCTCTGTTAACATAGTTTTTAAACAGTAAAAATGTGAACTAAAAGTACTTAGAAGTCTTGTCTTGGTTCTTTGGGGATGCAGTGCTGAATTGGGGGGCAGTTGAGTATTATTTATCCTACTTAGAACCACTGGAGAAAAGTTTGTGTGTGTGTGTGTGTGTGTGTGTGTGTGCGCGCGCGCGCGCGCACAAGCATGCACATTCCTCAATGTTTTTGATCATGGAAGCTTATATTTTAAGATTCCCACCTTTTTAAAAAATTAATTAATTAATTAATTTTTAATTTACATATGACAGTGGAAAGCATTACCATTCATATTACACATATAGAGCACAATTGTTCATATCTGTGGTTGGATACAAAGTATATTCATACCAATTCGTGTCTTCATACATGAACTTTGCAAAATGATGACCATCTCATTCCACCATCAAAATAAAAAAGTTCTGATAGAAACCCATTTGGTCTGACACATATTAGGTATGTCACATCCTTCCTACTCAGAGTAGTTTGGAGACAATGTTTTCTTTTTTAACTCAGGTTCATCCTTAGGAGTGTTCATTTCTGTCCTGTGCTGTAGAAGGAACACTACCCACACTGCAGCTGCCATAAAATGGGATATTCTGCCAACACCTGTGTTTCCCTGGGAACCAGGAGGGAAGAAACCACTGAGTTTTGCCTTTCCCTTCCCATCACCTGTTTCATCCCAAGATCTCAGAGAAGTTTTCTCAGAGGACCAACACAGTCAGGGTCTGATGAACAGATTCTTCTTGTAAGCACAGTCAGTGCAAGACTAGGCTGGGCGTTTCTTGGTGTAACTGGGTGTGAGGCTCACCTTGATTCTCCCTGGGCTACTCAGATGATGACAGCCCATGGGGCAGGGCCCATCAGCACACATGTGCATCTCAAGGTGGAAACAAGGAACAGAGTCCAAGTCACATACTCCAGTCTAGCTTTATTGGGAATAAAGCTGATATTTTTATCCTTCCATGCCTCTTGTGTCTACTTCTTAATTGATCAAAATCCCAAAGGCAAAGTATGTAATTATCACTTTCAAACCTAAGCAGTGGTAAAAAAATCACACATTGAAAAGTTTATTGAGAATCTGAGCATTTTGTTTGAATTCTACATATCTTTTGATCATTCTGGCTGCTTCCACTGTCACTTCATGACTGCCTGCCAATACTGTACACCTGTATTCTGCCCCATGGAACACATACATGGTGGTTAAGGGTTATCCTGCCTCTCCTTATGAAACAAACTATGGGCTTAGTGAGACCTTTGCAATTCAGAGGCCCTGTTTGCTTATTTTTGAGATTGATAATTGTGTTCTGCTTGGTTTAATATGGTCTGAAAAGGGTTAGACTAAAATTGTAGAACAATCTACTCTTCCTTGGGAGGTTCAGTAGAACATCAAAATAACCTGCCAAATCATCTAAATGTATTGTAAAGCTATAGCACTTAAAACAGATTTGTACTAGTATAGAAATAAATAGATCAAAATAGAATGCACACAAGTGACCCAAATAATACCAAAAAGGTGGCCTTTTAAATCAATGGGGGAAATAAAGGTTACCTAATAAATGGGGACAACATGCCTAGTTTTTGAAGAAAATAAAACTAGATCTCTATATTGCCCCTTTTAAAGAGAACTCGAAATATATTTAAGATTTTAAACAAGACATGTAATAGATCTACTCTTTACAAGTATGAAAAATTATAATTGTGTCAAGCTTTTTTATTTAGCTTATTATTAATGAAGGAACAAGGTGTTTAAAAAACGGTTCAAAGGAGAATTCAAAGAACAGATATATTATAGAAACAATCAGGAATGCTGAAACAAATTTGCTAATAGATGCAAAACTAGTTGTCCACAGAGGAAAATCAGCTGCATCTCCAACAGAATTCATGTGTTTCTCTAGACAGTAATCTCTATTTCTATCAGTTTGCTATAAAGTATAGGATTATAAAGTAGTTCAAAGGCCTGAAAAGGAAGAGGAGAGATGGAAGGAAGGAAGAGAGGGAGTGGGGGAGGAAGGGAGGGAGGGAGGGAGACCTGCGTACAATCAGATGACCCAGAAAAGACACCTAATATTTCATTTAAAGTACATCCAGTAATCTTTTCTTTTCCTCTTTAAAAGCTGTTGGGTTTTTTTTTTCCTTAACAACTTCCCCCTTTGTTGCCATAAAAGTCTCAAAGATTATTCCTAGTCATAGGAAGGCTGGTCTCATTAAGTTTGACCTACTTATTTGCATGGGAGCAGTGAGTGTCAATTAACTGTATAGGCTTCCGTGAGTTTGCTTGCAATCTAAAACTATGCAGTATTGAATTGCTGCTGGAGCCACAGAATTGTACATTTAAAAATCTACTCTTTGCTAGTTCAAGGCTAGGAAAACAAGCCCAAGAAACTACCACATTTCAACAGTACTATCTGTAAATTTGAATAAATTCGTCTTTACTTGAGTTCCCCCAAATTTGCTAAATCCCTGGCTTACCAGGAAGTTCCCGTTCTTACTACCTGTAAGGTTGGTACCCTACATTTGGAACTAAGCTATTGGTTATGCCCTTAAGACTTTGGCCCTAGGCCAGTTTTTCTGGGAGTGTTTTGTAGGCATTGGCTTTATAAGTAAAAATCAACCTTTACTCCTTAGGGTTGTTTGACACCGGCTAAATGACCATCATTCTCAAATATGACATTCCAAGTAAGGCCAGGGTTAATACAATCAATTTCATCCAATTATATGCAGGAAAAAGGGAGAGAGGCAGTTGAATGTATGTAACGAAAAACATTGCTATGTAAAAGTAAGGGGACTCAGTTGCAGTTTTCCAATTCAGGGCTGGAGAAACAGAAAAAATTCAGTGAGAAACAGAAAAAAAAATGTTTAATTTCACTTTATAAAAGCAAAGTCAGTTGAATCTTCTCAAGATAGTTTAAGAAGAAAGATAAATGGCTTCCTTATATACCCAGAAAATAGAGCATTAAAACATAGTCACAATAAAATGTTCCTCCTCAGGTCATTTTGTCCTTGTAATTTTGTTCTGCTAGATCTTGGATTAGCATTCTGCTTTCATAAAGCTGTCTCCTTCTAGATTAAACAGTCCTGGAAAAACACACTTGCTCCACAGGTACAGACTGAATGTCATCTAAGTATCAGCTCAGAGCTTGTACCCAAGAGTCTTTCTCTACAGTGTCGATTCTTTAAGGTACTTTTACACAGTCATTTTCCATGAGTTTCTGGGGCCCTCTTTCTTTGCTGAAGAACAAGATTTTGGCCTGTAGTTTATAACAGAAACTCAGGCGAGTTTCAGGAAGCAGAAACCTGTTTGATAATGAGACTGGGAGGTTGTAGTTAATTTACTACAGTAGCTCTTGGTTATTCACTCCATCCTGAGCATCCATTATACTATAGGTGTCCTCCAGGTGACCTTGAAGGCTGTGGAGTATTCCCTGAAAGTTTACCCAGTAATTCTCCATCCCCTTCAGAGTCCTTCACAGTTTTTCTGTTATAATCTGTATATCTATAACTATGTCTCACACATATAATGTCTTGCAGTAGAGAGAACTTTCTTGTTACAAAACACAGAACTAACAAAGGAGGTAATTGATAGATAATATTTTAAAACTCTTTTTGATATACTATTGTTCTAATGTGCAAAAAAAAAAAAAAAATCCAGAATGGAAGACAAAGTTAACCTTTGCTACACACATTTTGCAATTGGTGGAATGTGTCTCTCAAGTTTGAAGTTCCAGTTGTTCAACAAATCCCTTGGGCCAAATTACCAGGATGCCCAATATCATTTCCTTTCCCAACTCTGAATTGTCCAAGAACTCTAAAGATATCTGACTGCAGGGGCTGTGGCTAAGGATCAGTGGTAGAGTGCTTGCCTAGCATGTGTGAGGCATTGGGTTTGATCTTCAGCACTACATAAAAATAAACAAATAAAATAAAGGCATTCTGTCCATCTACAACTACAAAAATAAAAATAAAAAGATATCTGACTGCAGGCAAAGAGAGAAATGGTGAGTTTACTCAGTTCACAGCATCTTGCCCACCTCAGTCACTTCGTTGCTGGCACATAGTGTCACTGCTGAACACCAGCATTGCACAGTTTGTTAACCTATGCCTACCCTGGCCCTGGGTTCTTCACATGTTCAACTCTGAGGGCTGGCCCAAGCCAGGGATAGTTCTTCAGTTTGCCCCAGTTTGCTCCCAATTCACACCTTGCAGCCTGTTGCACAAAGGAGGGACTTCTGTTTATAATATTTTTAAACTGTACACTACAGATGAAGGAATTGGGTAGGTGACAATATAACCCCCTGGAGGCTTTCTGGTGCCTCTGCAAATTTATCTGGCTGTTTCAGCAATCTTTGATTCAAGATGCCAAGGGATATGTAGCTGGGGGGCAGTCACATTAAACCACAGAAACATTCTTCTTACCTCCTTGCTTTAGGAGGATGAGTGCCTTGGCTCTGACTTAGATCTTAAGGGGGAGGGCATTGGACTCACTTTTTCTTATTTAAAAGTAACTAACTGTCTTCACAAAGAAGCACTTAGACACTTAGTAAAGTATGGCCTAAGCAGCCCTTGACAATATAACATAATCTCCTTAATAAATCAAGAGTTTCTAAAAATCATCAAAAAAAAAGTCCAATAGAAAAATAGACTGCAGAAATACAAAAGGAGCTATTGGTAAAAGATAAAATAAATACCCAAAGAGAAGGTCAATTTAACACTAACTCATAAGTAAATTAAAGTGTGAGAATGTCTACATGATACCTTCTTATTTTTTACTTATCATACATCAAAAACTGAAATGGTTACTATTATAGTTCTCGTAAAGATGTAAGAAACAGGAATTTTTAGGGGCTGGTATTGTAGCTAAGTGGTAGAGCACTTGCCTAGCGCATGTGAGGCACTGGGTTCGATCCTCAGCACTACCTAAAAAAGAAATAAATAGAATAAAAGGTATTGAAAAGAAAAAAAAGAAACAGCAGTTTATGAGAGTGTACATAGTTTTAGTGTTTTTGAAGAGAAATTTAGCAGT